AAATATTTTAGAGATAAGTTCTCTGATTGAGATACAGTCTTTCAGACATAATGTGGACAAAATTTAAGATTTTGAATTGAGGACAACGTTATTCTATTATGCATTTTAGGCTTGGCGCTCCGACTGTACTATTGAATTAATTCTCTTAGAGATTTTAAAATATTAGAGCAAACTGTTACATTTAATCTATAAGATATTACTGATGTCGCCTTTTCATTTATTTACTATTCGGCTTATTATAAGTAGGCATGCACCAGTTACAGTTTTTTACCAGTTAACTGTAACTGTGAAAACTGTAACTGTCATAACTGTGTAACTGTTATAACTGTAACTGTCGTAACTGTATAACTGTAACTGTCATAACTGTAACTGTCAAAACTGTAACTGCTCATAACTGTAGACAAATATTCAAGAGTGAATTAGTCTTCTACGATTTGGAGACATTTTAAGAACAGAGACATCCTTAAATGTATGCAAATCGTAGAAGACTAATTCACTCTTGAATATTTGTCTACAGTTATGAGCAGTTACAGTTTTGACAGTTACAGTTATAACAGTTACACAGTTATGACAGTTACAGTTTTACAGTTAACTGTAACTGGTACATGCCTAATTATAAGAATGTAAACGGATTACGATGAATTTTCAATTAGAGTAATGCATTCAGTTGAAAACGATAGTTCCGAATGATACAATGCAAACATTTTACAACAAATGCACGAAATTATAATCCATTTTAAGGATAATAAGTTCGAAAAGAGAATGTACACTATTTTTAGAAACGAGTTTCTAAAATATTAGACGTATAATTGTCAAAATCCATCAGTTTTACACACATCATGATAGTTTCCGATGTTCAGTATTACAGATAAAATAAATGAGTAGGACATGAGAAAACTTTTTTAACGAAACCACTAATGCTCATGAGTTTACGATGAATATGCGATAATCAAGCTGCTGATTTATGTTGCCATGGACGGTGAGAGTAAACGATTGAGATGTTCGTCCATCAAACAACCATTAATAAATTCGTCCTTGGATAATTTATAATCTTGATTTTTATCCAGTTTTGAAAATATTCGTTCAACTTTTTTAATCGGTGGATTTGGACCGTGCTTATCTTCGCCGTTCAAATCATAGATAGCCTGAATATAAAGAAAAGGCCTCATTTAAAATTTGAAGATCTCATTTGAATTGAAGATGTTTAAAAAAAGAATTGATCCTCGTAACTACCTCCATTATTTTATTCATTTCTTTTTTCTCGATATATCCATTGTTGTCCAGATCTAAAACAAATATTAAGAGCATGACAATAAAATTAGTCAGAATTTTATCTATACATTTGCACTTGTACCCCATATTCGTGTACCCAAAATTTTTCCTCGTTCTATCCCAAAAAAAAGGTATCTTCCACGAGAGTATATTACATACGTCCCACATATATCTAGCTTATTTTAGCTGATTTATGAAGAAATCATCGCTATCACAAAACAATGGGATGAATGAAAGAGATCAGACGATAACTCACCTAAGCACATTCTGGGACAAATAGTGATGTGTACAAATATATCTGTTAGTACCAGTACGCGATCGATCTTTTTCTATCAAATACTCACATTACCAATTAAAACTCTTAGAATGTATGGCAACGCATCTTATACGCTCATACAAACAAAGTTTCAGACGAAAGAGCCAATATTTTGATTTCTGAGAATTAATCTCTAACTTGAACACCATCTCGAAAACTCTTACGAGAGAAGGGCGCCAAGTTGCAAATTGTTTTTTCGATAAAACTAAGTGAAGTATATGTAATCGATGATTCTGATTCCAAATATGAACATCGCAGTTGCCCGTTTTTCGATAAAAACCAGCATAGCCGCTCTTTTGGGAAGTTTTTCTGTATTGCTGATTTTTGTATTGGAAAACTAAAACTTACGGAACGTAGACAGTTTTGTGTCTTCTACAAAATGGTCGATTCAGAAAAATGTTTTGGATTTCGTCTCGGGTTTTCTGAAGATCCAGTTTTCAGAAAACCGATCAACAAAAGCTCAAGCGCAATCCCGATGTTCATATTTGGAATTAGCATCATCAATTACATATAGTCCATTTAGTTTTATCGAAAAATGATTTGTAACTTGGTGCCCTTCCCTCGTTAGTTAAAACTTACTCTTCCATAAATAACTAACCTATTTGACACTCAACCATAGGTTTTGTGATCCTGTTCACAACCTTACAAAAACTCTTCACGATCAGAACTGATGTTTGTCAGATAATTATTTCTTTGTGAGCAGATCAGTTGTATGTTGGCATATTCCAAAAGGAATATGATTTCAGTGGCAGTAAATCAAAATCAATGATTCGAGATGGTAGGCGATTGTAGAAAAAATCCAACAAATTGACAGTGTGGGTCTTTCAGCTAAAAGTATCTTTCTAAGCTGATGAGATGTTTCTCAATCTATTTAAAAAGTTTCAACACAGTTGTAAGTTGATTATTTTTGGGAATCCAAGTCATTGTAAGGTAGTCAACTGATATTGTTACTGCATGTGATAACATCATACTTGGACTTGTGCAGAATGGGTAATCGCGGATAGAACATAGAATGTTCCACTAAAATATAACACCACCTTATTTACTTTCAGAACAGAAGAAAGATTCGCTTTTTCGTAAGGAGCATTCCGGTCTTTTACCCATTTGCTGAGAGTCGTTGCTGTATGGGAATTTTTCTAATCCATACATTCTGTAATTCTAAGGTGAGCCAATTTGCGCTGAAATTTGAGCGAACAACAGTACAGTAGCGATTCATTATAACGACAGGACTCCATCAGATGAAATAGTGCAATAAACTAACAGTTCATAAATTTTTGTTTTACAACCGCTTTTTCGTTACAGAAAGATCAAGCCTTGGAAACTTGAACTGGCCCTTACTACGCGCGCAGTCCTCGAGACTGCCTTTTTGTAACTTTTCTCTCAACACAGTCGAGAATATAGACGTCGAACGTCAAGGAAATCGCACTAAACTTGCGTGACTCATAGAGAAATTGTGAAATGAATTTGTCCTTTCTCTGGTTAAGCATCATGATGACGATTAGTAAGTGGTTGAATGACCGCCGCTGAACATAAAATCACTGAATTATTTTGTGGACGACTGACGTCTATATTCTCGACTGTGTTGAGAGAAAAGTTACAAAAAGGCAGTCTCGAGGACTGCGCGCGTAGTAAGGGCCAGTTCAAGTTTCCAAGGCTTGATCTTTCTGTAACGAAAAAGCGGTTGTAAAACAAAAATTTATGAACTGTTAGTTTATTGCACTATTTCATCTGATGGAGTCCTGTCGTTATAATGAATCGCTACTGTACTGTTGTTCGCTCAAATTTCAGCGCAAATTGGCTCACCTTAGAATTACAGAATGTATGGAGAGTTGGATCATATGGTTTACCGGAATTACAATAGCCATTTTCTGACTATTCCTACTACTACAAAAATTATCATAGTATAGTAGTTCTTATCTGCATGGATAGTAGTTTGGTTCGTAAGTATAACTCCGCATGTTTTTCTGATGCGGAATAGAATGAAAGGATTCGATTTACATAATGCCTGATTACATTTAGATGCAGTGGTCTAAGCTAAATAAACAAGATCTTCGCAGATTAATCTTGCGATTTAATGTAGTAAGGCGCCACTAATTCAAAAATCAAGTGGAAAAGCTTAACCTAAACTTGAGCTATAGCTGCGAGACATGGTAAAAGCTATGGAAAAAAACGATGCAAAAGACAATTCACTGTTAATACATCGTGTGAAATATCGTATATAATACCGTTTCGATATGCCTATACTATTAATTTGTTGTATCGCTGTTGTATCTAATACATCCCTTTTACTAGACGCATATCGGTAACTAGATTGCATTTTTCCTCATTGAGACAAGCACTGTTGCCGCTAGAGTATTGCTATGTATGCGTCAGCGAATGGATCTAAATATTTGTGCTAGGAAGGTTTAACTTGGAGAGACACTTACCATACAGAGAGAAGACCCAGTCCAGCTTTTGTTTCGGATCTTGTTTTGCTGTTAGGCTTATAGCAATAAGAAATTCATCAAAGTCTAAAATAGGAGGGATTCAATGGAAAAGATTAAACTAAATATGTATTTAAAAGAACTTACCCACTTCTCCTGACCCGTCAGTGTCAAATGTCCTAGAAATACATTATTGAGTTTTAGACTACTTGGTTTTATGAATTCACATATTACTTGAAAACATATTCGGAGAACTTTTCAGCCTTAGCTGTTGGGAAAAATTGCTAAAACAAACGTATGTTTTTATAGATAAGAAAACGACTATTTTTTAAAATGTTAATTTTTGAGAAAAACGTTAGATACAAATTTACTTTATAAACTTCAATAAATTTTTTTTTGTTTAATTTTCCAGAAGGACAATCTTGCTAGAAAAAAGTGACATATGATATTCAAGCTCTAACATACGTAAAATAAACATACAATAAAACCTTCATGCCACTCTTTGACTTCAGCTTTCTTAAGTCCACTTATTTGGGCTAATTTATCCAGTCTCGTATTACTTAAAGGTTTTCCTTTAATCGGTTTTGGAGCTGTGCCTAGCAGATATCTACTACCCATATCTATTAACCAGCTTATATAATTACCCATGTTATAAATTATAATGTTCAAAGATCTAAAAAACGAATAATAACGAATGATATCGTAGAGCAATATCCATGATGATTGAAATAATAGTATCTTTTCGTACTCCTCCCATGCAGCAATGCTGGTTAGATTGGTCTTTCGAAGTAATACTATTTATTAGCGAAATTAAAGCAATGTCGAAAGGGAACAAACTCGTTTAGTATGAAAAAACGATTGAGATGCAAAATTATGTGTTTTTTTCTAGTACACGCAATAATAAAACGGGGTTCAATAGAAAATCTAATAAATACATATTTCTTGAAGATAGAATCACTCTCTCTCTGTATGATAGGTAATAAAAGTAGAGAGAAAACATCCTCCACAACGATGACTTGCTTTTATCAACCTTGTTAATTTCATGCACCAGTGAACAAATAAAGAAAAACCCTTAATTGAATATTACTGTCTTGAATATTTTTCACCAAGAAAATAATTGTTAAACCAACCTGATACACGATTAAAACCTTATCATTCACAAGGATCTGTTGATGATGATATTGATGTATAGTCTCTGCAATACCAATGCAATACATGTTGTATTTGGCTCACTAGTAATGAAGAAACAGGCCAGACCTTATTTTAGTATCTGATGGTGCTGAGACTATCATCATACAGGACTGTTACATTAACGTTTGACGTCGGTCACTTTTAACGTTAACGTTAAAAAAGTTAACGCTTAACGTTGTCAAATTGACGTTTTTTTATACGCTGAACCGTTTTAGAGTATTCTAGAGCTGAGAAAGTTGAAAGAATATGCATACATACATTTTCATGCACACATATTTACATATGTAAATATGTCTTAAAAAAACATTCATTCTGATAAACAGAGACTTTTAAGGAAAAACTCTTACTTATATAGAAGATGTATCTTTCACTTCGAATATTGTAAGCACTCTAACTCATCGTGGTAAAGGATTCAAATGCTGATATTTGAACTAAGTAGAGTAGGCAAATAGAGGAACTAATTGAGCTGTAAACATTGTACTTTTAAATTAGACAACGAGTTCAGTTACATGTAATTAAAATAAAACTTATAAAAAAGAACCAAACATGCAATATGGTCTATCGTAAATTCGCATTTTCTTTCAACTTTCTCAGCTCTAGAATACTCTAAAACGGTTCAGCGTATAAAAAAACGTCAATTTGACAACGTTAAACGTTAACTTTTTTTAACGTTAACGTTAAAAGTGACCAACGTCAAACGTTAATGTGATAGTCCTGCTTATTCCATTTGTAAACTCGTTTTCGCACCGGTTTCGGTTTTCAATCGCTTAACTGGAACCGATCATAAGCGACATAACCAAAAAACATTTTCTATTTAAGTTTTAAATTTAACTTACACACATTCTTGAAAATACTTTTGAAACAGTACGAAGGGAACATCTGATCTGAAAATGTTTTCTCTGTGATGAAAATTTCAGATATTTCCTTTTTACTTTTTCAAAAGTATTTTTAAGAATGTGTGCAAATAAAAAAAATTTTCGGTTCGACTAATGCAAACTGTTGCATGCCTAATTACTTTTTTATAGTGGAAGTAACAAACGTAAATAGTAGTGAATCAGTATTTTTTAAATTTTTTGATGCTTCTATGTATCTAAAGATTTATTAATTTTTAATGAAAAACGGAAAAATTACTATCATTCCGCGACCGAATCAAAAAGCAAGAAACCGTTACAGTTTTTAGAAGAAGGTTTTAGAAAACGTTAAAGAAAAAAGTTTTAGAAAATATTCTGTTCCGTATTCGAGGATACCGTTTTTGGTATGCGGAAGTTTTTGTGTATAGAAAAGGTTTTCGAAAGTCCCAATATCCTACGTGTATTCTCGACTACGGCAGAAAGGAGTTTTTCAGGTCATCCCGAATACGGAAAATAATCTACGAAAGGGTTTTCGAAGCATTTTCTAGCATACACTTTTTTTTGGTGTTTGCGACAAAAAAAATGTTATAGAAATTTTCTCCCTTGATGAATATGAAAGTGAAATGATCTTGATAATCTTTCATATACTGTTTTGCATCTACGTCTTTCGCCATACGTTTTCACAATTATATTTTTGCATGATTATGACACACATTGAATGTGGTATCCATAGTAGAAAGGACAATTCTTAGTTCCTTACCCTCGCCCTTATACGTATATTTCAATCATAGATACTCGTTCTCGATGAATTTCCAGAGCACACTATAGTTAACTGTATATTTGTGTGAATAGTCTAGAGACAATGCATAGTACAGTCGACGTCAAAAGTATTTCGCCACTTTTTTGTTTTTAGTCGTATATTAAAACTATACAACATTAATTTAATTTCATTCTATGCCTGTGTAGTAGAGGTCAACCACTATATATCTACACCTGTTTAGTATGAAAAACCATTGAATATAAAATATTCTTGGTATTTTTCTCAAAAGATGCGCCGTGAAAAGCTCTACAAAAACTGTAAGAACAAATTCCTATTGACTTGTTCTAATGGTTTCTTCCATACTCGAAAAGAAAAAGACATACATGATAGTGCTACTTTCCGCCGTATTTAACATAATAAAAATGTTCGGTTCACCTGAACTTTGGTTTTTTTTCAAAGGTGCGCCGTCGAAAGCTCTATAAAAGGTGTAGAAGTTGTATAAACAAATGCCTATTGCAAAACAAAAAAGTCTTTCAAACATGTTTATTATCATTTTGCGCATTTTTTCAGCACTGAAGTTTTATTTTTTTATTATATTTTATATTCAATGGTTTTTCATACCAAACAGGTGTAGATATATAGTGCTTGACCTCTACTACACAGGCATATAATGAAATTAAATTAATGTTGTGTAGTTTTAATACACGACTAAAAACAAAAAAGTGGCGAAATACTTTTGACGTCGACTGTATTTCATGCTATCTATAGTAGTAGAAATTTATTTTATCTATCCAAGATCTCGATAATTCTTGTATCATGATTTTCTTTCACACTTTTGCTTACATATAGCTTCGAAATTTTTCCTTTCTTGCGCAAAGCTGTTCAAGGATGAGCCTACATGATTGTATGTCTCATGGTTATGGCTGTCATATAAGAAAAAACATGTCAACATTTTCATCATAATACTTTGAAACAGTTTGACTCGATTCGGCCAAGATCTTGAGTGCAGGTTTCGAGAACCCAAGCTCTTTGTTTCATTACGTTTTCTCAGCCATCGTTGAATATTTCTTAACCAAGAGTACAAAAAGGTTCCCATAGGTATAGATCTACAAAGTTTTCCGATGGGTGCGAAGTACTGAAAACGTAATTAAAAATAATTTTCTGTTTGTGAAGTATTCAAACTTTGTTTCTGAGAAAAATCAGCCACTGCTATTTATTCAATTTTTTAAATGATTCGCACTACGAAACGCAAGGTAATAGCTGAGATGGTGCGAACTGTCCAATTAAGCGGACGTCGATTTTTATCTTCATCTCTTCTGGAGTCAGCCTTTTTAAAGTGAACACGCTACTTTCAATAGAAAATTTCCGATACTAATATTCGCAAACAGTCTAACGGTTCCATTATAAAACTTTATCCAATCTCAGTTGATGTTTTTGAAAATATAAAACTGCCGCTTGAAAAACGATTTTGCTCTCATAGAAACAGCCAATCAAAAGAATCACTGTTTGTAACGATCCATGGCGGACATCACATACATCATCAACAAAAAACGAATTCGTCAAAGCGTCACGACTCGTCAGAATCGAAATATTTTCAGTCCGAAAAACGTAAAAATAAGTGCAGTTTGCACAATTTGAGTTTTTTTATCCTAGACTGAACGTCATGTAAATCCCCGTTACTATGGCAACCTCGTGCCCGTATAGCAAAACACATTGACCCATCTAAATGATCTTTTCGAAAATTTCTATAATTCCATCTACGTGTCGCACGAAATTAATATGACTTTTTAAAAATGTTACTAGTGTCCCCGATCGCTTATATTTGAGAAAAGGATGAGTCATACTGCATAGGAGCTGATATTGATAAAATGAACCAGTCCAAATCATCAGTCCACTGATAATGAGTTACAAGATTAATAAAGAAAAATTAGTGTGACAGGCAGGACGAACTAACATATTCTGTAAACGACAGACGTAAGACATCGCTATCTCTGTTCCGAACTATGTCCTGTCATTTGAAAAAATCAGAATTTCGTGAGAAGTCCATCCAGCTATGAAACCGTGTTTACATTTGCTAATTGTTCCTCCTAACAAAAACAGGACCGATAACATTGTCTGTGCTGAAGTAAGGGAACCTAAATCGATATAAATTAGGCGCATCCATTACTACGATAAGACATTAGCATTCGTGCTGTCGTAAGATAAATGAATCCTATTTATTTATAAATGGCTTATTGTAAGACAGGTCTTTTAGAGTGAGATATCCATCAGCCCTCGATTTCTAGATCTTTCTGTTGCTTAAACGTATGTTTCGGCTAGTGATGCGATTCCATAAATTGCTCAGTTTGTTCTAGTGTGTTCTATTTATCCTTTTTTTGTTTGTTTTTGTTTAACAACAAGTTGTTTTAAACTTGAGTGTTGAAGTCCATCATCAAGACCTTATCATTTATGTGGTGGTTTTTATTGTGTGTATGTTTAATTCTTTCATTCAACGTTGATATATAGGTTTAGCAGAATCTATCAATCAAAGTTGTTTGTTTCCTTCGCTTTTATTCTCATCCGCTATTTATCCTTTTTTTGTTTGTTTTTGTTTAACAACAAGTTGTTTTAAACCTTGAATTTTGAAGCCTATCATCAAAACATTATCATTTGTGGTGTTTTTTACTGTGTGTGTTTATTTCTTCCATTCAACGTTGATATATAGGTTTAGCAGAATCTATCAATCAAAGTTGTTTGTTTCCTGCTCTTTTATTCCTGTCACAAATGCTTTCATCGAGGTCCTACTGATTGTTATCGTACAGAGCGATTGTTGGTAT